CGAGAGAGGTCCCATTGTTCCCATTTGACCACATCTGGGTCTTCTCGATCAGCATTTCCAGGTTTCTTGCTAGCTTTCCACATGCTGTAGTGAGTACATCAAATGTGAAGATTTGATTTATGCAATTCAATAAATCAAAACACCTAACAATCAAACAATACTGACCTGTAAGGCACCTAAGTTGTTCCTTCAAGTCCTCCATTTCCCTCTGCATGCATAAGACCATGGCAATAAGCTCCTTCTTCGAATAGGTCTGTAAATAATGAGCCTCCTGCCATCATAAAAGTACACAAGCTCAGGTCTAGAATCAAATGTCTCAAGTACGTCAACAAGCAAATGTCTCAAATGCTGAACACAAGTGACTCACATCCTACCTCAGACTCAGAAGCAGGAGAACTGTCAGTGTAGAGGTCTGCGGAAGAACAATCCAGCTCATTAACCTGTCATGACAAGAAAGAGTCCTAATATTTTCTATTTACTCAGTCAGTTGTCATTGATAATTGTACAACAGTTCATTTCAGCCGTCAAATCTGATCACATTTTCTCTCCCCATGACTGGATTGAGGTTTCTCTCACACTTCCTCTCATATACTGTTTCAGAACAGCTGTCATTTTGTGTTGCTTGTTTGATAAATAAAGAAAATAAAGAAGTATTACTTCTAAACTATATAAACTTCCATTAATACTGATTACTGACTGTTTGAATACACTTGTTGTTTCTTATGTTTTCGATGAATAAACTATTTTCTTTGGGAAACTGTTTATATAGTTTGATAAAAAAAGTATGACTTATTTTTGTTGGTGTACAAAACTGTTGGTGTTCGAAACTGTCTAAGACAGGATGTGATGCAGAGAACTGTGAGTATCCTGGCCAGAAAACATCTGTTGTTTTTCAAAAGTTATTATGCTCTTCATATATATTTTATCTCTATATGATGTAATGTTTATTCTAATTTAATGGTTATTACACTGCATGTTGTTTTTGTGTATTCAAGAGGTATAAAAGCTGATGCTTGGACAATAAACTTTGAAGAAGCTTGACCAGAACAGGACTTTGCATTGGTGAAGGAAACGACTGAGTATTCGACAGTACTGGGAAATACAGGAATAATCTAAGCAACAGACGAAGAAAGAAATATATAAATAGGCTAATTTTCCTCAGAAATGTGTGTTAAATTGTGATATTATTGAGTATATCCAAATCACAGCCGTGCTGATATTTACAACAACAGTAGCTTTAATACTGCTTACATATACATTGACCAGGTTGATACATTGTTTACCATGATAAGAAGCTTCCACTGAAATATCAGTCAATGCAATTGTGGTAAACTACCTGTTGAAAAAAAAATTTTTTTTTTTAAATGGTTCAGCTGACCTGAGTCCCCAAAACCCATCTAAAACCACTGAAGAGACCAGCGTGGGAGAATAGAAGACCGGCAAAACATCTTAAGCTGGCTCAAGATGTTATGTCTGCAAAGGTAGCCACTGCTGTCATGCAAAAGCAAAGCTGTTGAATGCTTCTTAAACTCTTTAAATGAGAACCCATATTGTGGCCTTGCACACAATACTGGTGTTTTCCATGGGGGAAGTACCATGGTCATTTTTATAAGGGTACCAACAAAATAACTTGAAAAGAAGAGATTGTTTCAAACTTTCTAAAGTTTCGAATTTCAAAACTTTTAACCCACTGGTGAGCTTGTACTTGGGAGGGAAATGAGTACAGGGCTTTAGTTGTGCGAGCGCCTGATGAGGTTTCGATCAAATGGTGTACTGTACCATGCTTTACCCCATTGTTCTCCATTAGCGGCCAGGCATGGCCGCCTGCCCTGCCTCACACCACTGCTGCAGGATAGGAAAGCATTCAATCTATTGCTATACGGTGCGAAAAGTGCAGTAGTAAACCAACACCAGTAAATTATGGGTGAGATTGTTGCATAAAATGCTGCCATCAACCGACGTGGAACAACTGTGAGAATCAAAACAGAAAGGTTTTGCTGTCCGTCTTCTCTGTCAAAATGCATCCAAAACATCGATTAAACACCGATAATGAGAAAAAGCCCAAACCTTGATGTCTAACTTCTGAAGCCCGGCGTCGGATGAGCTATTTTCTTCTGCTTTCTCTTTGGAGGAATACATTTTTCTTCGTTTCTGTGCACCGTTCTGTTGGACAGTCGGGTTGACATGATACTAATTATTATTTTGGGATCAAACATATGCCATTAACAGTTACAAACAAACAATGAGACATTAAACACTCAAAAACACGTTTCCATCGATCATCTTACACTGAAGCAGTCCGGTTTTTGTTCCTCTTCCTCATCCTCTTCATTTTCGTAGTCAAGAATTCGCTGCGCTTTTGTTTTCCTTCTCATTTCTCTCCCATTATTTTATTTGCGAGCGAGAAAAAAGGCTCCACTCTGCATAATACAGTTACGCTGTATTGGACCAAAACAACACTATTCCTCTCTTTCTGAGATTTATACGCTGCAGATCTACTACAGATACCGACAACTATGTTCCTTGCGATTATTTTACTTCAGCTCAAATACTTGAGTGAATCCATGGAAGGACAGCACTTTACAGAGAAATGACAGGGAACACATTTGAGGCTAACGCACCGTAACGTAACGTGGCACGAGCTCGAGTCCCGTCTAGATTCAATCTAATGGCAGATCCTCACAACAACAGGAAATCGTTTGCAAAAATTTTTACCATGGTAACCCTAGTTTCCGCCAAAATACCCTAGTTACTGCTGTAAAACCGTAATAAATCATTACAAATTCTCTTTCAAACAGTTCAAGAAGCTTTCAGAATCTTCATTTATTTCATTGATGGCACTGTCACCAAATACCAAGTTACCTCAGTTTTATTGTAGTAACAGTAACTGCAGTAATTATGGTATGTCGGCGGAAACTATGGTTACCACGGCAAATATTTATAAGGGGCGCTCTTTTAACTCATGTTTCCCCTCGATATGTAACATATTGTATATGCGCTCATAAACAATAGTGCATTTCCAACGACAGTCTTATTTACACGTCGTTTACAGAGTATTTAGCCTGACAATTGAGAAAGTTAGATTCGTCATGCAGTTTTAAGAAAGATTTCAACAAAATAATTAACTTTAGTCTTATTTTGCGATTATAATACGTCTTTGGTGTGTGGAAGATCATAGTTAATATTAATGTCAGACTCTTTACAAAACAGATGTACCAGTGTACTCAGTTTCCCCTAAAATACCATAGTTACCACTTTAAAAATGTATTAGCCACCACTTTCATATGATCAAATAAAAATTATTTGTGGACTGTATATAGGAGATCCTGTATTATGATGTAATCATTTCAAAAGCAAAATTGAGCATTGTTTTGTATAAAGTGACAATTTCAGTTTAGGTCAATGACAGCTTTCTGCTTTTGTAATTATTGGAAACCTACACACAAGAATGTTTCTTAAAATGAGTTTTTAAAGTCTTGAAGAGCCTTAAGTAAATGTGAATACATCGATTGATAAGGGAAAGGAAGAAACAATAACACTATTTAGGTTAAATGCAGTCACACAGACTAATTTCCAAGTATCAAATGTGTTTTCTAGAATAAACACATTCTCTGAAATGTTTCCTGACTGATCCGGTGATAACCATAAATTGGAGCTTGACATCTTGAATGGCAATATGTTTACTGCCTCCAAATGACATTATCATTTCCAAGATTTTTTCCTCAGTAATCAATTATTATGCTTTCATATTTTCTTCAGTAACTCCTGACTTATGCAGCATAGCAGCATTTTATGAACAACAGTTTGTTTTTTGTTATAAGGCAATTAAATGTGGTCTGTTTAAGAGTTCAAACATACTTGAGCATTCAATGTGGCCTCAAGAAATTGCAGTGCAACCAAATGCTAACAGGGCTCTTATATAACTCTCCTGACTGTATCTATAATTTTTTTTATTTATCTGAATTTCTCAATGCATGCCTCAGAGAGAATGTGAGTTGGAGAGACATAAGAAAAACTTGGAGGCATTCAGTTCTTTTCCCCACTGCCTCTCAAGGCTGACTGACGCAAGCATCTGACACAAAGAAGCATGTTTGATGTAGATATCCATTAAAAGACCTTTAAAGATCAAAATAGCTGTAATTGAAAATTCATCAAACAAGAAAGATAATGTTATGAGGTACTCACAATCTTGAACCCTGTTATAGAACACGCGACCTCTGGCCTGTCAAACACGCTCAACGAGCGCCATCTAGTGGCTATAAGTAACTAAACGCATTTTTATAGTAAAGTATTTTATTGAGTCAAGTTGTCCAAAGTGATACAATTTAATACAATTAATTAACTACAGTATTTACTGCGACATAAGCTACTTTTATCTGGTTGCTATTTTGTGTGCTTCATAATTGTTTTAATGTTGAAATGTTGATGAAAAGCCTATAACATGCTATTTATTTAATGGCTGGTAACATTGTGACAACGAGAATTATGGTCAACAAATGTAAAAATGAACAGTATGCATTTTTCTAAATGTCGTCAGAAACGTTTTTGTAGCCTAGACTTTATGTGCCAATGGAAAATTGACTTTCAAAGATAAGCCTACGCTAAGAAATATTCATTGGAGTAAAATGAGTGTCAACTAGCCCCATATGATAATACATGGCTCTTTTGGCATAAAGCATTATCCTTTAATTAGTTTCTCGGTATCAGAGTATTTCTGGCCAGTGTTTTAGTGATTGTCAATATTTTTGTGACTTTCAGTATCACTTCAGAATATTGCAAATATCGCCAATATTGTATTCCCACGGAGCTCATCAAGAAAGGGAAGAAAAAATAAAGGCGGGACAGCCAAGTTAAATAGATACCAGTTTTAAATTATGGGAAAATAAATAAATAAATCGTATTTGTAGGTTTGTATACAACGGGGAATTTTGATGAATGATCTCATCCCGTATGTGCACTAGAATATTCTACGCGTGCGCAGTGGCACCATGTTTCAACGCCTCAGTTCAGCCAAGTTGTCGGCAAGAGGAAATTCTGCAAGTCATGGTGGGCCATTCAAAGCGAGAGGGGAGTGACAACCACATAGAGATCTAAGGCAATAAGTGCGTAGTTAGTTGGAAGTGACTGATGACAGTGGCTGTTTATGCATGTGGAGGCATTCGGAGTCATTTGTCAGTAAACTCTTCCTCAGTAAGTATGAAAACGGACTATTTTGATGCTATGCTAGCGGGCTAAGTTAGCTATAGCTTTCGAAATTGCGAACGTGGGAGTGTGTGTCAGTGCAGCTGCTGCAAACGCACAAGACAGCTTTGCGTGAACTGAAGGAACCGTTTTGAACGGTTAGGTTTAACCAGTTGACAAGAACTGGGTATTTAATAAAAGTTGTTATTAGTAATTCATGTCCCCGGTAGACCCCCGTCAGGGCCCGCCTCCTTATTGGCTGTAGCGCGGAGGGGAAATGAGTGACAGGCATCTTAGCCAATCAGAGGCTGTTGCGCCACTTGTTGCTAACGGGCTGCTGGGCTGTGATAGCGGAAGTGTAAGAGGTCAATAATTCACAGTGCTGGACAAGTAAATGGTTCTTAGATGAGGTTTTAGAAGGAGGAGATGAAAGTAGGCAGAGAATGTCATTAGGCCGAAGCTCAGTCACCGATCTGGAATTTATTGGTGGCGAATATGTGCGATTTATTTGCGTACTTTTGGTTATTAGAGTGCTACAGGGATGGTTGGACTGATGTGGGTGTGATTGTGAGGTTGGTGTATGTGGTGGGAGGTCGTTAATATTTTATAATAACAGTTTCATAGTAAGACTGTAAATTGTCATTGTATTATTTTAATTAGGTTGTTAAAACACTTTGTTGTGATATCTGATGTGCTTTTATAAATCTGAATGTTAACATTAGAATTTTGAAATGTAATTTGTGTATTATACTACATTATGATGCAAGCACCTTTGATGTTATTTAACTGATTAAGCTTTAATTGCGATTCACTTGCATTTGAAAAATGTGCCATTTAATTGCTAATAATATTGTAAAATTTTGCTTAATTTTTGTCTTCTCTTTCTATGCAGGTTTGGTGAACTTTGAAAGTGCATGCTTACAAATATATAAGCTGGCTATTATTTGGGTGAAAAAAAAAGACAACAAAAGAGGATTTATCTTCACCTTTAGTCCTGTTTTATTAGAAGCACATGACTGTGAAACAAAGCGAGCATCCTTTTATCTTGTCTCAGCTTTCGATTTTCTATCGTATACAAGGCTGACCATAACCTTAATTGGGTTTGACATTTGTTTGTGTGTATTTTTTTGTTTTTGCTTTTTAGTTCCTTTTTAAGTTTTTTTTCTTTTTTGTTCCTTTGCAAAGAAATGCTTTACTTGAAAAAGTACTTCACAGAGGGTCTTATTCAGTTCACTATCCTCCTGAGTCTAATTGGGGTACGGTTGGACTTGGACACTTATTTAAACAATCAGCTCCCCCCACTCCGTGAGATCATCCTGGGCCCCAGCTCGGCCTACACCCAGACGCAGTTCCACAATCTCCGTAACACCCTGGACGGCTATGGCATCCATCCTAAAAGTGTGGACCTGGACCATTTTTTCACCACTCGTCGGCTTCTGAACCAGGTGCGCTCCCTGGATCATCTGCGTGTGCCCAGCACCGAGCTGAGTGCCTGGCTGGTGCATCGTGACCCTGAGACTGTGGTTTCGGCAACCAGTCAGTCTGGCCCCAGCATTGCCCTGGACAATGGGGGCAGCCTGGAGGACGTGAACAACTCCGAAGCCTCGGCAATGAGAGGGGCTGGCGGTGCTTCTGAGACCACTTACAGCCTCAGCGGAGAGGACAGCCTGGGAGCCGTGGCCCCTGAGGACAGTCAGGAGCAAGGGGAGAGAGAGAGCAGCGACGACCTCTCCAAAGAGGTACAGTAGCTGTGTGTTTTTAGCTTAGCCTACAGTAATTAGATTGACATTGGTTCGTATTTGATTTCTTCAAAGAGAGAACCGTGTTATGCTATTATCTCTAGCTATTAGATTAAGCGTATTACAATAGTGGCTGGACAGGGTGTGGTCTCATCGATAGAGCTGTGTATCTCTTAAAACTAGGTAGTTGTGCTAATGTTAATGTTTTAGGCTAATAGTAATGTAAATATTACATTTTCTAGCAACATCACAGCTTTGACATGTGGAACAAATACTGCACTGAATCAAATGGAGATTATAGTAGTAGTAGTAGAGGTCATCTACTCTTGTGGTTGTCAGGATAGGATATGTAGCATTTCATTTTTTGAGAGAGACGTGGTTCCTTTGTGATTTATTTAGGAATACATGCTTGGGACAATTAGCCAAATAAGAGCTGACAAATCTGCATCATTTCCCTCATTAAATGTAATTATCTGATGATGTCCTGTAATCTTAGACCTTTTATGACACTCCCCTTTAATGAATATATTTCTAGGACATTGACCTCATAGACATCCTATGGAGGCAGGATATTGACCTTGGTGCTGGCCGAGAAGTATTTAACATATATATATATATATATATATATTAGGGGTGTAATGGCACACAAACATGATGGTTCGGTACGTTCCTCGGTTTTGCCGTCACGGTGAGATATGGTTTGGGTACAGTAGGAGTAGGAGGAAAAAAACTAAACACCTATCTACCTTTTTCTTGCCGTAAAAATGGGCGCGGCCATTTGTAAATTCTATGGGTCTGGCTTCCGGTCTCATCCACATCCAGCTATTTTTAGCTGTACAAAACAGTTTGTTTTGCTGCTTAATATTGAAAATTTCCTACGGAGGTATGTGCTGTAAGATGCTAGGATTACAGGAAGGTGTGAGGAGCACAGCAAGGTTTCGGTTAATAATGCTTTTAGATTATTCAAAAAGGCTTGAAAGCTGTAGATGTTAAGTGAATTTGAGTCAGCCTTGGAATTACATGGACTTTTCTTGTTGTATTTCCTAGCTTACCAGTCTTGGTGCTCAGACTTCATTATCCCTGCAGGAATGTCTGAGGCTTCTGGAGGCCACCTTTCCATTTGGAGAAGAGCCAGAGGTAGCGACAGTGAAATTCATGCTACATTACGGATTAAAACTTGGCCGTTTTTTTTTTTTTTTGATTGTCATTTTACATTATTTTTTCTCTTCAGTTCCAGGCCACTGGAATACCCATTAACCTGCAGTTTCAATCCACCTTTTTCTTGCCGTAAAAATGGGCAAGATGGGCATTTGTAAATTTTATGGTTCTAGCTTCCGATCTCATCCGTGTCCAGCTATTTTTAGCTGTACAAAACAGTTTGTTTTGCTGCTTAATATTGAAAATTTGTGAGTCTTACCATATTATTTTAATGTATTATCTTAATTATGAACACACTGGTTTGTACTGCAAACAGTTTTACCGTTTACTGCATGTTGTTATTCTTCTCGTTATTTACCTATAGCGGCTAATGAACCGGAAGTCTCACCCATAGGCTTACTTCCACGATGAAGAAAAAGGTGGATATTTTTTTCTAATTAAACAATGGTTTACTGAACAAATTGCTTTTTCCTTGAATTGCAATTCCTTGCATTGCTCTATAAAAGTCGAGACTAATTGACACCACATCATGAGGTTGTGTAGGGATCTTATATGATATGATATAATTTCCTGTTTTATGTTGTTTTACTGTATGTTGGTCTTACGGTACGACTGACTTGGCAGACAAAAGTTTTTCAAATATTAATAACCACTTAAAATATTTTTTTCCAAAAAATAAATTTTTTTTTTTAAAGAATTTCCTCCTTTCAATCAGACTTTTAATCATTTTTTGATGATCTCTGAACACTTTTATCACCCTGAC